CTCGATAGCTGCTGCATTATCACTGCAAGTGAGACTACTCTTTTTAATCTCCCCTTCGCGCGCATGGGCGGTGATTCATTGATATTCTTGCCCTCGTCCCTAATCTGCCTGACAGACTTTATAGACTACAACAAAGGGAAGTTCTTGGCTGATATGATATATTAGTTGTAGCTGCACCTCAGATCGATTTGTAGGGTCGCAGCGGTTGATAGTGAAGTCGTGGATGCCGGGTACCAAGAATGAAAAAAGAAACAAAGAAGATGGTCGATGAAGCCCAAAACAAAAATAACCCCCGAAAAAAGAAGGGGCGTGGCTAGACGAGTTGAATATGCTGCTCCACTACTGAAAATCCGCGCATTTCTCCGGAAGTCACTGATATCCTGGATTCCCCCGGCTGTGTTGTTAACTCAACTGTTGTGGACTTCATCACTTGGTATACTAGCTCTATTTATTTTCAGTTAAGCAGTGGAGAGCTTCTCACAACGATAGATGCTCATTATCAATCAATCACACGGCTATCACTGTCTTCAGATGAGTCTATTTTATTCACGGCATCCACCGATGGAACAGTTAGCTGTTATTTGATTTCTGAGTGGGTTTGAGTCTTTTTTTGTTTTTCTGCTTGAAGCTTGAAGTTCACGCCTGTATTGCTTCTGACCGTTCACAAATCGGCTGAGAATGTGTTGATGTGTGCGTGTGTGTGCGATACATGTACTTGTGTACCTTTTTGCGAAAATGTGTAAGGGTGTGTGTGACGAGTTGAACGCTGTGTAGAAGAAGCACAGAAAGGTGAGAAGAAAGTTCACGCATAGAAGATGCAGAACTGTGAAGCCATTTGCTGGAGGGACGCAATAGGGAGCCTCATCGATTAACACAAAGCATGTGGAACGATGAACTGTTCGCAATTGGAAATGAAAGCAGAAGTGGTGATGTTATAGCGGCACGAAATGGAACCTTTTGACTTGTTTTTGGGACTATGGGATTTTCTATAGAATGGAATTGAATTGGACGGGTTACTCTGCCTTCCTACTACATACTCTTTGACAGACAGCACCCTCTCCCCAAAACTGCGTCTCTACTCCGGTCGATGACGTAGTCCCTTTATCAAGAATAGGGGATGCGTCCAGGGTTGCAGAGTTCTGAGGATCAAACTCCTTGCCGGGGCTTGCTGCACCTGGCCCCTGGCGGGAGACTTCACGAAGGCAGCGGTCATCACTGTAATTCCTTGCTCGGCTGCCAGTGCCCCGCCTCGATCCGTTAATAATTTGGCCTCCTTTGAGTAGGCAGATCTCCTTTTCTTCAACTCCCAGTTGATCGTTCTACTTGCACACGCAACTTTGCAGGCTGAGCCGCCTCACCTCACATCCTTGGATTTTGAGTGGCACAACACAAACATGGGTTTGACAAAATTATTTCAGCACTGCACATAACTCGTGTAGTAGTGGAATTTTGACGAAAAGGAAACTGTGAAAACTACGAAAATCTAAAATTTACTAGTGATTGCTGTGACATGTAAAGTTCAATTTGTCCTGTTTGTTTCAATTATGCATACCAAAACATCCATACAGTTATCTGTTTATTTCTGCTGCTCCTCTTATTTACATGCTCATGACAACAAAAAGTAAACGAAGAATTAATTGAACGCAACGTATTTTACGGCCCAGAAAATCTGTGCTATATTGAAGCACCTGTCCACTCGTTTGTAGCCATGTTAAGACAATGTCCAGCTTGTCAAAAAATGGCACAAAAAATTTAGGAAAGTGTCACTCGTGACCGTGAATCTTTTGTTTATTCTGATCTTATTGTTGCAGGATAATTTCCCTTGACCGAGATCACACTATCGCACCGTTGCGTAAATGGAAGGCTCATTCGTTATCTGTTAGCGGTTTGTCTGTTAGCGATGGAGCGAATCCCCGCATTGCCAGTTGTGGATTGGATCACGTTGCTACTGTTCACTCAGTTTCGCTTGATGAGGTCTTATTAAAAGTATGTTCCACTTTTTCTTCGTTTTTGGCATATTTGATCCTAGGATGGGAGACAATCCGTCTGTTTAGATATCAGCAGATCGACCACTCACTGCTTGTGTGTTGGATCCTGCTGAGACTAGATTGTTTCTTGGATCAGACACTGGGAATATTGCGCAGATTAATCTTTACGCCCTGGTAAGCCGGTTTCGTTTTTAGGTTTCCCAAAACCTACTGTTGTTCATTGACCTGCATAAAAGCCATATGATCTGCTTATCACCCGTGGCCAAATATACTGCAGTGCATGATCAGCTTTTGCTTATACAAATTTTTACTCAGCTTACCGATAGAGAATTACACCACCGTTCGAATTTGATACTCTACGTGACCCATGTGGCACTTTCACAATTTCATTCTTTCACGAGCTCCTTTACTGATATTCTTACAACACTTAATGAGTGTACATCTAAGCCAGACGTGTCTCGCATCCCTTGGGTTTATGCAGCTTTCATAATCCCGGTATGTGTACGTTATTAACAATCATCTTTGACTTCGGTATGTCAATTCGTTTTGGAAACGTCGTGTTCTTGATGTCCCTCTAAAGAGCTTCCATAGATGCTTTGCGTTATTAGGAGCCTTTGATAATTTACATAGGCTGTAGTGAAGTTAGAGGTGAAGTGGTTTCTCCTTGCCTGTATTCTTTCTGCGTGTTTGGGAAGGTGGAGTGTGACAGTGGAGCTTATGTTTGCTCAATGTTAGAGATTCGCAAGAGGTGTTGATGCACCTGCACATTCACTTTTGTATTCAGGGCGACGCAAGGGATTTGTTAGTACAAGTCGCAGATGAAAAAAATGAACGAGTACCTGTCTTCAGTGGCCACTCAAGCGAGATAACCGCATTGGCTATCAATGGTGACGGATCGCTGTTGGCTTCAGGTGATTCTTCTGGTAAATACACTATCTGGGAAATCTGTAGCAGGCAATGTCTAAAGGTTTGCCATTTCTAGATTTTGTTTTGAGTAATAGAACTTTTACAGCTCCACATTTCTAGGTGTCTTCCATGCGCGGTTCAGTTTCGACATTGCAATTCGTGGCTAATTGGCCGAGCACACATGCGGCTGAGCATATTTCTGCTCATCCGAATTTTGAGCTACAACGTGTTCTGACTAGAGGCGAGAAAATTCCTATGATACCTCACACTGGGAGTGACTTCAATAAGGTCAGATTTGTTTTATCTCCGATTGATCATCTTTTTTATTTGATTTTTTTGCATTCGCGATATTTCTGGGTTTTGGTTTTCCAGTAGTTTTTTCTTTTTCTTCGGAAGTAGCGGTTCTAATGTTTTTACTGACGTAAGGAAGTTACATGAACTTGTCAATAAACTTTGTGTGAGGTTTCGCCTTACTTTATCATTGCGTTTTCTTTTTTTTTACTTTTCGAGCCTGGCCAGGTTTTTTGGGGCTTTCATATGTAGGCATAAGAACTGGTTGTGTTTGGTATCAGCCCTGCTCGTTATTGCTCTGACTTCTTAACCATTGCAATCTTTCAGTAATTGAAGCTCTCTTTGTTGTGCTTCACGTCTTATTCTATTTGCGAAGAATAACAAAATGTGTGAAAGTGACAAATCATCAGTGCCTTTGTACAAATGGTTTTGATGAATTCGCTGGAAATAGCTGTGGTGTCAGATGACATCGGCTCCAAAGATTAATTCAGTATATGCTAATAAGATACTCCTTTTTCCTGAAGGCGAATTCCAGAGAATTTCGTTATTTTGTTTTAAATTCAAAAAATTGAACTGTCATAGGAGGTTGGCAGCTCGTCATGCCGTCGCAGGACTTGTGAACGAGCTTGACTCGAAAAAATAGTGAGATGTCTCGGTGACGATTCTTGGAAAAACCAACCAGTCTTTCCATGGGGATGTCTGTCATCATTTAAACGTGCCTAGAATTGTCCCGGCTGACAGAAACCCCGCCTATGGAATGGGTGAGAACCTTCCTACACTTCCACGACAGAGAAGCCAATGTGGCGTTATCATTGTTTATGTGCATATGTGCTCTCTGCTCCAGTGCTGTTTTCAGCGGTTTGGTTCAGAGTAGTGACCTCCCTTTTTTGCTAGTGCAACAAGGAGCTTATAGCTTCCGCCAGCATTTATGATTGGTTGCTGGATTCATAAATGCCGACTTTCTCAAGTTAGATCAGAGTATGGATTTTCTCTGATGATCATTAGTAAATTATTATAATAGTTAGAGTTTTCATTGGTTATTTGTCATCACATTGCCTCCTTGAATGAAATGTAAATGAAACTTATCTTTACCTTCTGCTAGGGCGGCCAGCTGTCCGTTGTGTAGACCACGCAGCACAAGTGAACAGTCTCCAAGTAAATATAGTGAACACTAGTAGTGATAGCTGATAGTTGGTAAATGATAGTTGTAATTAGTGACAACTGATAGAATACAACTGCAACAGGCTAATCATTTCATTGGCAAAACATTTACATTTTGTAGAGACGTCACGTGTGTTGTGTGGTCTGGCCGGACGCATAGTCGGTCGGACGACAGCAACGACCGCAAGTGTCGCATAAACCGCGGTTGCAAATGGAAGGCGACGCGGTCACCCAATGCTAACCCAGACAACACGTGACTGCGCGTGATCGTATTTCGAAAGTCCCACTGTAGTGTGGAATAGTAGCTGCGTATTGATCTACGACACTTACCGCGTCGCCTTCCATTTGCAACCGCGGTTTATGCGACACTTGCGGTCGTTGCTGTCGTCCGACAGCAGCGGTCGTAAGTGTCGCAGGTGTCGCAGATCGATACGCACCCAATGCTGTGCGACACTTGCAGTCGTTGCTGTCGTCCGACCGACTATGCGTCCGGCCTATGGTCTCAGGACATCTGTCAACCGTGAGCCTTGGCGGTTCAGCGTTTTGTAGTGATGTCTGGGAGCTCTCACAAGTGCACACTATCACAGCATCTCCTCTTTCTTTATCTTCTTCAAAAGGCTTAGTCCCAATAAGACACAAAGTGTGTGCTTTTCCAGCTACGCTCTCACCCTTTGGTTGACAGAAGCCTTGTAACCCATGTAGTCGTCGTAGGCGAAGAATGCTACACAAATAATTGAAACTAATTAGCTACACTTCTAGGGAAACAGTGGTTAAGGGAGAACACCCAGTAGTCTAAGGATTTAAGAAATAGTCCGACAATATGTATTATAACTGCAAAGAACTGTTTTGCAGGAGTTCTGGCATGGCGAAGTGGATCGTCTGATAACCACTGTTCTTCAAGCGACGGCGTCGGTACGTACATTTTGTATTAGAGACGCTGTTTTTCGATTTACCATCTCGTTGTGATCTCTTAATTCTGGAATACTCGTTTCTGGAAATACACATCCCGGTTGATTTGACTGTGGGTTGTTTTTGGGGGGCTGGAGTACGGGCTTTGATTTGGGAGGATATTCTTTGGTAAAGAAAGCTACGTCGGCTTGTCTGCAACGAGTCGCTGCCCTCCATATTTGGAATGGATTTAATCATATTTAGACTCAAATTGGATGAGCCCAACTGGAAATTGAGGAGCATATTCCAATTTATCAAAAAACTAATATTAGCCTTCTCCCTCGACGACATCAGAAAACCCTTTGTAACATGGCGTGTCAAGTTCTATGCGACTCCCATCGTCTTGGGCCATTACGACGTTATTTGAAAGTCTGGTTGGAAGCAGGCTTAACCGCCCGTTGCGCGAAGGACAACGTCGGCGTCGTATTTGGCCAAACGAAAGGGGAGGGGGTCGTATACACAGGGACCGCGGTGAAATGCATGAGAAAACAGGATTCCATGTAACAGTACAACGCAACTACAATCGCGATACTATCACCGTCTCCAGGGGAGTGGAGGACTTTCAAATGCTAGTGCGACTGCTTCTAACCACAGACAGGTGCACGGCGTACCCCGAGCAGGAGTTTTCACTTCAAAACGCTTTATCTGTCAGCGGCCGTGAGCAGACAAACTTCCTCAAAAGAATCTTGATGCTTTCAGAACAAATCTAAGTGGAAGAAAGTTAGAACTTGCTAATTGACTTCTAGGGACCACCTCAGAAATTCGGCAGAAGAAAGCTTTTAAAGTTCGCAAACGTTGGACGCCCTCTTCACGTAGTATTCAGTTCTTTTCACCGCTTCTCATTACATGGACTTTGAAGGAAATTGTATGCGTTTCAGATTGCAAAGTCGCGTTTCAGGAAAATGGCTTGAAAAAATCAAGGGGAAAAAACGGAACAACGGGACTATTTTTTGAAAGAGTGATTTTTGGAAAAGTTTCAGCACCGATTCGGAAGCGCTATTTTTTAGTTTCTAATAAAAGATAAAGGATAAAGCATTTGCCGTTGATCAATCCCTTTTTGGGATGCGGCACGCATTCTACTTCCATTTGTACATTCGTAGTGGCGTTTGAATGCGATGTGGCCTATACAATGACTTGCGGGGGCCAGCCGATGTACAAGTCAGTGTTTTTATCCTCCCAGACAAGTCTGGTACCAATTAACCGACCCCGGAGGGATGGAAGGCTTGGTTGGCCCGGGCGACTCACGACCCAGGATTTGATCCCCGGACCGCTCGCGTGGTAAGCGTGCCACTTGCCACTACACCACTTCCGCCCTGTTTCTAATTAGCTTTGAATATGTGCAAAAGGTTAATTATGAGAAAGTTATGAGCGTTCAAATGTGAAAACTCGCGGAAGAACTGGACATTTGCAATAGTCAGGTTACCTTCTGGAAAGAAAATAATTTGAAGTATTTGAATTTTTGTATCCCCCATGCTTCTGTGGAAAGATATATATTTTTTTAAAGAAGAGACTCGTATCGTGACGTGATTACTGCACTGTTTAGTTTTTGAGTTTATAAAAAAGTGATAGGGAAGGTCGAAAAAAAACTCCGCAGTTTCCTGAAAGTAGAAGTCTTTACGATCACAACTGTGCCTGAAATCATTAAAAAAGTTGTAAATTACTTCTATTTAATGGGTGAAATTCCATTGC